ATTCTGAGTGCCTTGAATTTTTCGGATCTGCCCTTTGCCCCTAATTTTCACTATAAATCTGGCTAAAAGCATCTAACTGTACCCACACCACAACCTGAATGTTGGGCTGTTTGAAATTTCCTCTGCCAGATTTATTATTCCACCCCCCTTAATCTCTATTTTCCTGCAAATTCTCAGGACATAGGTAAAATGTAATTAATTTTTATGCCACAATGTGCAACGTATGGCCTGTAGTCCTACTGTCAATAGATTCCTTGTTGCCGACTGAAACCTTCTAAGCCTGGCCTTCAATGTCCACATTTTTTTGAGTATTCTGGTCTTCCGAGCTCTATCTAGAATCACCATCAGGCTCTGCTTACACCATTCTGGGAATTTCTCTAACCCACGTCACTAAACCTTTCCCAACTCCTACCACAAACTAGTTCCAAAAGCTTCTAACCCAGGATAGTCACAGCAACAATCCAACTTCTCCAGTACCAATTTACTATATTTACTACCAGTTTACTCCAGTACTAAATTTACTATTTACTAAAAAGAAGGGGTTTACTTTGGCTCACGGTTTTCAGAGAATTCAGTCTCTGTTTGGCTGACTCCACAGAGAAAAAGTGTTCAATCTATGACAGCCAGGGAGCAGAGTGAGAAGGGAGGAGCTGGGATAAATAATATACCCTTCAACATTATACCTTCAGTGACCCACCTCCAACCAGCTCCCATCTCCTAACAGTATATTTAGCTACTGACATTATCAATGGATAGGTCCAATAGTAAGTATAGTGCTCCCATGATTCAATCACTTTCTAAATGCACGAGACTTTTGGGAGATATTTTAGATCTAAGTCATAACATGGCCTTATAAGACTAAGATCTTAAAAATGATGTTTAAAATATATTCAATCAATTAAAAGAAACTATATCAAAAGCACTAAAGGAAAGACAGAACAATGTCTTGTTGACTAGAGAGTACCAATAAAGACATAGAAACTATAAAAAAAGAACCAACTAAAAATTCTGGAATTGAAAAGTATAGTAATCAAAACAAAAATTTTGCCAGAGGAGCTCACTAGATCTAAGCAAGCAGATTAAAGAGTTAAGCACACTTAAAAACTGATCAATGGAGATTACCTAGTCTGAGGAGCAAAAGGAAAAAAGAATAAAGAAAAATCAGTAGAATCTGAGAGACTGGTGGGAAATCATTAAGCATTTCAAAATATGCTTAACAGGAGTCTCAGAAGAATAAAAGATATGGGAAGAATATTTAAAGAAATAACGGAGCAAAATTTCTTAAGTGTGATGACAAAAATTAACCTTTACATATAAAACTCAACGGATTCCAAGGAAGATAAATTTAAAGACATTCTCATCTAGAAATATCTGTTAATGGTTGAAAATCAAAGACAAAACTTTTAATATAATAAAAAGGTGCTCAATAAGATTAACAGCTGAATCTCATCAGAAACCATGGAGGCCAGAAGTCAGTAAGAGGTCATATTCAAAGTGCTGCAAGAGGCCAGGCATGGTGGGGCACGCCTGTAATCCCAGCACTTGGGAGACTGATGCAGGAGGATCATTCCAAGTTCGAGACCAGCCTGGGTTACCAAGTGAGCTCAAGGCCAGCCTGAACTGCATAGTGAGACCCTGTCTCAACAACACACACACACACACACACACACACACACACACACACATCATCAACTAAAAAACATAGTGCTACATGGTAACTAGTAATTCTATATTCAGTAAAACTACCCTCCACAAACAAAAGAGAAGCCAGGCCTGATGTCATAGGCCTATAATCCCAGTTTTTTGGGGAAGTTGAGCCAGATGGGTCCCAAGTTCGACCCTACCCTAGGCAACTTAGTGAAATGCAAAGGCCCTGGATTCGATCCCCAGCATACCAAAAAACAAAAGAAAAGGAAGAAGAATTTAACACATTCACAGTTAAATAAAGACAGAGAATTTTTCACTACCAGAACTGCCTTACAAGAAACACTAAAGACAGTCTTTCACGCTGAAATGGAAGGACATTAGACAAGAAACTGATAGCAAAACAAAACCAAAAGCACTAGTAAAGGTAATCACACAGGTTAACAAAATAAGTGTACTTTACTGTAATTATTTTTTCTTCCATACTTGATATGAGGGACAATCATTATGGTATAATAAAAAATATGTAGTTGATCTCTGTTCCAGGTTCCCGGTATAGAGTCTATAAAATCCTTGGAATTTTCTAAATGATGGAAGAATCTTATGTTATTCATAATGAGCCACTTCCCCCAATAACTGACTTTTTGTTAATGAAGTGACTCCTGGCAGAGTTCCCAATTAGTTTCAAGATGCAGCTAAGTTTTCAGAGAAAGCAACAACTTCAGGAGATGACTGGAAATTTCAGCCTCATTGGCTAACCTCAAAAGGAAGGGAGAAGCCAGGTGTGGTGGCACATGCCTGTAATCCTAGCACTTGGGTGGCTACGGCAGGAGGATTGCTGTGAGTTTGAGGTCAGCCTGAGCTACAAAGTGAGTTCAAGAGCAGCCTGAACTGCTGGTTCAGTGAAACCATGTCTCAAAAAGACCAAAAAAAGAGAGAGTGGAAAAGACCTAGAGATCAAAAGAAATAACCAAAGGCTAATGATTTATTCATCATGCAATTCTGACAGAATTTCCTAAGCAACAAGGTATGGAGACATTCTGGATTTGTTAATGTATGGAAAACTACATGCCAGAGAAGGAAGAAGTTATCTAACATTCTGTACCACATATGCTGTCCTGCATATCTCTTCCATTTGCAGAGTTGTTTTCTTTGTAAGTAAATCTGCAAATATTAAGGAGAGCACTTTCCTGAGGTTCAACATTGATCTAGCAATTTTTTTTTTTTCTTTTTTTTGGTACCAGGAATCGAACTTTGCACCTTGCACTTGCCAGGAAGGCGCTTATGCCACTGAGCTATATCCCCACCCCGTAGCAAATTGTTAAACCAGAAGAGGGGGTTGCTGGAAGCTCAAGACAGAAATGTGGTAACTGAAGACCCTAGCTTAACAATGTTCAAAAAGAATAAAGGCCTTTTCAAGGCCTTTTCATGGTTTCTCACTCCACTTAAAATCAAACTCAATTTCCTTTTTGTTTTCTTTTCTTTTTGTACACAGCTGTCTCTCTGACTACTCACTTCTCAGGTACAATACTGGACCCAAGAGAATACTGAAGCAAGATTCTTTAAACGTTGAGGAAAATAAAATAATTTCTATTTTAGAATTCACTACCCAGTCATGCAACATTGAAGAGGAGTGTTAAAAGATCTTTTCAGCTATATAAGGACTTGGAAAATTTTCCACCCCAAATGCCTCTCTGTAAGACCTACAAAAAATTTAGTCTAGCAAGGAAAAATTAAAAGAATCCCCACCTTCCCATAAGAGGAAAACAGAAGATGTGTGAGATAGGAAACAACATGATCAAATAAACTTATAAAATATATTAAATCCAAATGAACACCAATAGTAAAAAGTAGTATTTGAACTAGTAAGTCAAATTTTTAATACTAATATGGAGGTGGAGAAGAGGACATAAAAGTATGCTATGATTTTTATCTTAATTAGGAGAAAGAATAAAAATACTAGTAACTCTAATTTTTATTAGATAAATATATTAAACTTTAAGAGTACTAGAATAGGCCTAAAACATACAACTTTCAAACTACAGAATAAAAATGGAGTAAAAACATTGATGAACTGCAACAGAAAGTAGAAAAACAGTAAAAGAAAATACACAAAAGCTACAAGCAGAAAACAGGATAACAAATGTAAACTATTTAAACTCCTTTAGTGACAGAGAGGATTTTATAACAAACTGAGAAAGTTCAAGTTGGGTATGGTAGTGGACACCCTACAGTCCCAGCTCTCTGGGAGGCTGAGGCAGGAGGATGGAGCACAGCACGGAGAACTTGAGACCCTTTCTCCAAATAAAAATACAAAAAAAGGGCTTGGGATGTAACTCAGTGTAAAAGCAATGGGTCCACTCTCTAGTACTGTAAACAAAACAAAACAAAACAAAAACATGTATTATTTTACAGAAGACAAAATATGATGCAGATATGATGAAGAAAGAACAAAAAAACAGCCAGGTGTGGTGGCACATGCCCACAGTCCCAGCGCTCAGGAGGCTGAGGCAGGAGGATCATTGCAAGTTCAAAACCAGTGTGGGCTACAAAATGAGCTCAAGGCCAGCCTGAACCGCATAATGAAACCCTGTCTCAAAAAAAAAAAAAAAAAAAACAAGCTTTAAAATCTAGGTAGCAAACAGTATTATAAGTAAAGGAAAAATACAACTATACTTATAGGAAATACAGTATTAACACATGAAAAATGGATTCATCAACTAGGTAAAAAAAATGTAGCACATTTGAGTAATACAACTATAGTAAGCCTGTTCTAACATATACATACAGAGAGATCTAGTCGCAAACACAAAAAGCAAAACATTTCAAACATATATATGACATGAAATATACAATAAAAGTCCAAAAGATATCACAAAAAATTCTAAAATCATAAAGGTTGCAATTACTTACCATAAAGTAGTATAACTAGACTCTATATTAAAAAAAAGTTTAAATTCCATATCTAAGGGACTAGGATTCAGCTCAGTGGAGCAAAGCCTTGGGTTCAAGCCCCAGGCCACCCCCCAAATCTATATAGCTGTAGAAATTAAAACAATTACAATTTATAAGTAACCTTAACTGAATGAAAAAATTAAAATTATAGGATCTTTAAAAAAAACCACCTTACCACACGTGAGATTAGCTAAAATAGTAGTTCTAACCAATTTTCCCATGATCTTCTGCACAACTATTATATGCTCAAATCTTAAATCTCCTTCAGAGATTAACATACGAAATAGAGAATGAGGAGAATCTTTTACAGCTTCGAAACAAGAATTCGACCCATTATCCAGACCGGGGGAGGGGGAGGTAGGGCAAACAAAGATAATAAAAATTCCAGTAGGAAAGCTTACATGTTTATCTTTCCTTTCTATAACATCTTGCTTTTGTTTGCATCTTTGAGATGTCTCCGTGATATCTGTTGCCTGTGAGAGGAAAAAATTACTTAAAAATTCAATTCAATTATGTAGTCCCAACCATCCAAATATTGTTATGTGAGTTAACCTGAAACAATGCCTTTCCCACAATTTACTTACATAACATGCAATTACATATCACCAAAATATCAACAGTATAGGAAATGCTAAGAAAGCTATAACATGCGTGCAAACGTTTGCCTGTTCATATTTATTTCCTTGTGTTATTTTATGATCCTGAAAATAGTCTTAGGGGATAGTTAGAAAAGATGTTGCTGCTTTTTTACACATAAAGAGAATAAGGTCAAGCAGATATTAAATGACAGAAAGGGATTTAAAATACAGTTCTATGTGAGTTCAAAGTCTATGCCTTCTCCGTAACATTGTATTACCTCCGTGGAATGTTAAAAACAATCATAAGCATTGGAAAAGGCTTTCTGCTGGAACAAAGGGAGCAACCACAAGAACAGCACCAACACTAAACAAAATTAACCATTTTATTCCTACTGCATGGTTAAGGGTACTAATTTATTTTTAAAAATACGAAATAGTATAATGTGCTACTGCACAATCTAGGAACACTTTTGCAGGAAAATAATTCTAAAATATCTCAGGCTACATAGACTGGGAAACAAATTAGGCTCACAGACATTTGACATTGCCTTAACAGTCGGGCTTCTGTTAGGAACTGACAAAAAAAAGGGGAGGGGGGAGTTCTAAATGATTCTTTAATTAAGAGACTTGAAATTTATTGTACATATTTCTCCCACTATAAAAAAAAAAGTAGCTTAGTAGTAAATTCAAGTACCCAAAAAAAAAATATTATAAATCCGCAACTTATCTATAACAACCACAATTAATGTGAAATGACTAGCTCTATCCCTCAAGAAGCCATGTTACCTCTGGGATTTAGTATTCTTAACCACAAAATTAAGAAACGTCTCTAGGTAACAATATCTACAATCCTTTCTTGCTCTAAAATTAAAATGATCAATAGTAATTCTCTTAAAAATCAGATCCAATCAAGTCCTAAAATCCTTAGCTGTTCCTAATAACTATTCAGTCTTCTAGACCTGAGCCTAGTAATTGTAAACCACTTTAACTCATACTAGAATTAAGACCTAATGGAGATTTTCTGACTGACAGTAGCAAAGTCAAAATTAGTAACTCCTTTCCTTTGACTTTATATTCCTAGACATGGCCTTTTCATTCAATAAGCATTGCTCAACATGCATATTTCAGTAAATATATGGTACATCTCTAGATAAAAGAGCTATGGGTAACTTTTTCACGAAAGTTAAGCTTAATTAAACTTGTATACTGAAGGGAGGAGGGGCCTACTCAGTCAAGGGAAGTATGTCTTGTCCCTTCCTCTTTGTCTTTTTCCTACACTTTCCTCTCTGCTTCCAGCTGCCATATGGTGAATATGCTCCACCATGACATTCTGCCTCATCTCAGGCACACAGCAATGGAACCAGCTAACCATCTTGAATCTCTGAAACTGGCAGCCACAATAAACTCTCTACCTTTAAGCTGTTTATATTAGATAATTTTGTCATGGCAACAAAAAGCTGGCTAACAGTATGTTAAATATAGGGGGGAAAAAAGATAGTATATACAGGTTGAATATCCACAGTCCAAAACTCTACAGTCTAAAACACCCCCCAAATCTGAAACATTTTGAGTACCAATAACATACCTAATAAGTTTCAGATTTCTGGATTTTCAGATTAGGTATGCCAAATCAGAAAACTCTACGCAAACATTCTAAAATCACCAAAATTTGAAATATGCAACAGTTCTGGTCCTAAGCATTTTGCATAAAAGATACTCAAAATATGGGTTCAGGAATATCTGCAGTTTTAGACATTTATTGGGATGTCTTGGAATATATTTCATCAGGTAAAGGGAGACTACTATATTCTCAAAGCAGGAACTTGAACCGTTTGTTCTCAATAATCCCCAAGTCCTTAAATGTTAAGGCATGATCATTAATAATTTTTATTTATTTATTTTTGTGGTATCAGGGACTGACCTTATGGCTTCACACATCCTTGGCAAGTGTTCTACGACTGTGCTACATTCCCAGCTGACTATAAGCAATTTAAACATATACTTCTAAAATAAAAAAGAATGACTACACTCTTTATTCTAGGAAATACCAGATTTTATCACCCCCCTCCAAATGGGTGTATAATTACAACAAAGCAGATGTAATAAATTCATAAAAGGAGCTCCATGTCCCTAGGAATACTATTACAAATCACACTGTACTTAACGCAGTGCTATTTCAAGCCTGGAGTGGTGGCACGTGCCTGTACAACCAGCCCTATAAAGGATGAGGTAGAAGAATCCCAAGTTAGAGCCTAACCTGGGCAACCTAGAAACGTAACAAGAACCTATATCAAAGTAAAGTAAACCCCAGAAAATATTCTGAATGAACTGTAAAATAATTTTTGTGTTTGCGAAGATAAAAATCAGATTTATCAGTCGGGCATATAGCTCAGCGGCACAAGCACTTGACTGGCAAGCGCAAGGTCCTGAGTTTGACTCTTGATACCGAAAAAAGATTATCCAAAATGAAAAAGTACCTTTTCTTTGATCTGAGCCTCCAAATCATAGCGCTGCCTTTCAATTTCCTTAATTCTACGTGTAATAGGGATCTGCCCTTCTTTAAGTTTTTTGACCTCGTCCTTCACTCGATCACGAGCTCGTTTTACTTCTTCATATTCCTGACGAACATTTTCATATTCCTTGAAAATAATTCAAAAAACAGAAGTTAACACAGTAAGGAGCTTAAACTAACTCATATACTAAAATCAAGGCACAGACAGAAACCAAATCGAAGAAATGACTGCTTTGGCATTAAAATGAGATTTTTCCCTAATCTTTCAATGAAGAGTTCAGAGGTACATAGAGCTAAATAAATAAATTATAAAGGTAAAAATGGGGAAAAAAAAAACAAAGAAAGTAGTCAGAAGGAAAACAAAAAGCATATAGCTAGCCAGCTAAATGAAAATGCTTGTTGTGTCACAGGAATTAATATTTATTTTTACTGGAAAAAAAAAAAAGCACTAACACAGCTATATAAAGACTACAATATATAAAGGTAAGAGCACAAATATACATTAGAGAAAGTCATTCAAAGAGGAAAACTTCTAAAGACTGAAATTTTTTTTTTTTTTTTTTTT